GCGCCGCCATACGGAGACTGGCCATCAGAGTCTGGCAGTAGACCCGGAGATGCTCTCTACCTTTAGCCTCATTGTAGTCCCAAAGCGGCCGTTCAAGGGGAAAAGTTCGGTCAATGGTTCGTGGGTTTGTAGTAGGTCTTTCGTCCTCTCCCGGAACCAGCTTCCGCGCCTCCCCCTGAATCCTTTCTCTTTCCTCTGTTGTGAAGAGCACCTTAAGCAACTGCTGGCAATCATTCTAGGTGGGCTGATGAGTGAAAAGAACAGAGTCTAAAAGATTAATTAGGTCTCTCGGATTCTCGGAGAAGTTTGAGTTTTGAGATTTCCAATTATAAAGATCACTGGTAGAGAAGGGCTAATATTGGAATGTCTGTGTTCTATCCTCCCCCAAGGGTCCCACTGCCCTTAGAGGGAGTGCCTTTACGGGCTCCGGATCCGTGGCTCTGCCAGCCCGCTGTCTGGTCCCATAGGCTGGCCCCGCTGCCGGTGGTCCCGCATCCGCCTGGGCCGGGAGAGCCGCAGAGGCTGTCCCAGGGTTATAGGGTGGAGGCGTGTTCCATTCGGGACCTGTTAGGTCTGGGTAGAGATTGGAATTCGGCAACACTGGCGTTCCAACGGACCTCGGACTCCTCGCCCCTCCTTTGACTTTTTAACTGCAGAACTTCCGCCTTTCCCCTCGGGCAGGTAGGAGGCCTTCAGCCAAGGTGGTGGGTCTCGAACCAAGTCTTGCCAGACCAATATAGGGGGTCTGATCAGGGGGCCGTGGTGGCCAAATACCACCCCTTTTACCTTTTTGATCAAGGAGGCATCAAACGAGCCCTCCCTGGGCCACCCCACTCCAAATGTGGACCACTCAGCCTCACAAAGGGTAACAAACTTTCCCTTCTTGACTCCAGGGACAGGTTGTGTGCCCTTGCCCTGACATCCTTAAAATGGCTCACCAGGATGGACAATGGCGTTGTTAGAGCCTGTCCCATGGCTAGTCAATAATAGGCAGATGTGCAAACCGATATTCCGTAGTTGGGCACTGGGACAAGGATCTGAATCCCTAGCCTTTTACTCCTACGGAGTTAACGGCCGTGCCCCTCCGCATAGCCACTCTTGGCACGGGTGGCAGGAGATACACTGTGTGCTGCCAGCCCATGCAGGGAAACTCACCTGGAGGTTCCAGTCGCCCCTGCGGATCTTTTCGTGGGTCCCCTGATTCCACGGCCCCAGCCTGAAAACCCATGCAACCCTGATGGTTCTCGGGCTGAAACCATAGAACCAGAGACTCCAACAAGCCAATGAGAGATGTCACACTCACCCACACACACACACACACACACACACCAGAAAGCGTGACAAACAAAGCAGACAACAGACAAGTGACAGTGAGGTAACAGACACAACTAACCTAGTCCAGACCTACTCCCGGTCTCCTCCTGACGAGCCCTTGGCTACAAGGTCAGCTCCGGAGTCAAATGGGCCAGAGGACGTCTCCACATGGCTCCTACCGGCGACCCACCAGCGCGTCCGCCTAGGTCCTGTGCCGGCGTCCTGATTCGGGGTCCTGCAAGGGGATTCCGAGTCCCTTGCCCAACACCACACCCGGCTAGTCCGGGGTGGATTTTCACACTCCTCCCTCAGCCCTGAGTTCTATCCGGTAGTCTGTGGGGAAGGCAAATCCCGGACGAGCCCCAATGTTAGGGACCGACCTTCACAGCCCCACCGGACAGAAAAGCGAGACATGCGAGGATGCAATCACGCAAGAGGAGGTTTATTTTCTGGCTAGCCAGGTCCAAGCCCCAGAGCACCAACGCAGTGGCCACTCTCGCAGGCAAGGACCCTGGACCCGTGAACAGGGATTTTATCCCCATGGTGCACAAGCTGCGCACAAGCCGACTACGCATGGATCATGCGTTGACTTTTAAAATGATTGGTTGCCCCCTATTGCCTTTTGAAATAATTGGCGGGTTGGTTGCCCTCTATTGCCTGATGGGCCAGTTGCCCGTGCTTTAATGACCTCATCCCATAATTCCCCTTATAGCGGTGCAGCAAGCAAGCAATGACCAGAAGCAAAGGTTTGCCGTTAGTTCATTGCCCCACCCAAGTAAATTCCCGACAATTGGAAAAATTCTTCTGCCCTTCCTCTGTCTTACAAATTCCTCTGCCCTACACTACCACCTTCCAACAACCTTAGTCCCTGTATTAGTTAAACTCTTCTTACCTGCTGGACTTTCCTCTGCTTTCCACTATTTCCTCTGCCTAGCTTCTTCCTCTTCCTGCATTCCAGCCCACTTCCTGTCTGACCTCTGATTTTTACCTCTAAACTGGTTAAAAAGATAAAGTTAGAATAAGGGAACAGTTTTACCCCATGAGCACAGTGGGTATTACTGGTGGCTGCTTATTACTATTAGTTTCACTACAATCTTGTGACATATGTATTATAATTTTTTCCATTCTACAGAGATACGAAAGTATTTAAATTTTAATTCCCTTTTTTAAATGAGTGAAGAGAAACATGGTGCTATTAAGAAATTGAAATAGGAGTCAGGAGACTTGAGTTTTATTTCCAGCTTGGCCATCACTCATTGTGTGCCCTTAATCCTGTTCTTGATTTTTTTTTTTTTTTTTGAGACAAAGTCTCGCTTTGTTGCCCAGGCTAGAGTGAGTGCCATAGCGTCAGCCTAGCTCACAGCAACCTCAAACTCCTGGGCTCAAGCGATCCTCCTGCCTCAGTCTCCCGAGTAGCTGCGACTACAGGTATGCGCCACCATGCCTGGCTGATTTTTTCTATATATATTAGTTGGCCAATTAATTTCTTTCTATTTATAGTAGAGACGGGGTCTCGCTCTTGCTCAGGCTGGTTTCGAATTCCTGACCTCGAACAATCCTCCCACCTCGGCCTCCCAGAGTGCTAGGATTACAGGCGTGAGCCACCGTGCCCGGCCTCTGTTCTTGATTTTAATTGCTGTTTCATTAACCACTGTGCATTTCAGGTGGAGGAAGTTTGAGGAATAACAGCCAGTTTCCTAAAAGTATTATTTTCTCACATTTTTTGAGTCCGTGATATCCTCTTGTGTTTGTCAGTTTGGAACAACCCCTTCCTGGAAGAGCTGTTTGACGCACACCTCAGAAGAAGCAGCCAGACTCAGCCTTAGAGATTAGTTAGTCTGATTCCCTCATCTTGCAGATGAAATGGCCACACATCTAATGAGTGGACAAGCTAGAAATAAAACCATGGCTCCTGATTGTTCCAGCATTCTTTCCATTGCATTATGTTGCTTTATTCACCAAAAATAAATTAACAGATTCAAAGTATTTTATTTTCATTGTTTTAGAAGGCAAATTTGGCTGTCTCCTTTGACTTATTTTAGTTTAAGTACTCCAGGAGGGCTAAAATTGTGGTGAGTCAAAGAACAGAGATGGAGGCTCCTGTCAATTCAAGAGCCTAGAAACCTTAAATACTCAAAAAAATTGTTGACGTTTCATTTATGTGATGTTTGGTCCCTGAATTTACTGAAGATATCCCCACCTCTGCTCTCAATTCCAACCTAGTACCCCACATATGAGATCAAAGAAAACCTCCAACTACACACACCAACTAACCCCCCAGACTCCCAAATGGAACCCTTGCAAGTCCTTCACTTTTGCCTGGGGAGAGGATGGGGAAGTAGGGTAGAGAAGGAGGGAGGAGAGGAATGGTCATTTAGGGGCATGCTGTGTCTACCAGGCTATATGAATCCTTGCCTTCAAGCTATCTAACAACTACCTTCCACTGTATCACCCTCATGGCATCTGGTTACAGAACTAGAAAGGATACAGAAAAATTCAAACTGAAACCAAAACCAAAAACTTAAATCAAGGCTTTCAGAGAAATTTCTCTATATACAAGCTGATTTTGAGCCCATATAGTGTAGAAGAGGGAGGTCTTGGTCAGCTTCCAAACTTAGCCTCAAAGAGAGTGAGTCCATGGTATATACTCAGCACATCAAAGCACTCACTCATTGAAGGAAGTGGGCTTATTTCAGAATCAGTGAGCTGGTTGGGTTGCTTCCAAGAATTGAGAGTACATGCAGTCATCTGTTCAGGTCCAGTGCAGTGAACAAACATTTTGGCTTGTTCCTAGGATTGAGCTCAAGGATACTGAGAACAAACCACCTATGGAGACCATTGTAGAAGAAGATGGAGAGAACAGACCAAGGAAGTTCAAATTAAAAGACAAGTCAGACAAAGCAGGCGGCGTCAGAGGTAGGCCAGTGGTTTCTGGGTATAATCTGTCACTCTTTACTGCCATATTGCTTAGCAACTGATATTCTCAAAATAAAGTTAGATTCACCAGTAATCACTGCATTGTCTCTAACAAATATCTTCTATTCCTAGAATGCTGTATCTTAACTACCTTATGAGTCTTTTTAATTTTTTTAATTTTAGTGTATTATGGGGGTACAAGTGTTAAGGTTACATATGTTGTCCATGCCCACCTCCCCCCTCAACCTTATGAGTCTTAGATCCTATGACTCTCAGGCTCTTAAGTCAAAACTGAGATTCCAGGCCGGGTGCGGTGGCTCACGCCTGTAATCCTAGCACTCTGGGAGGCCGAGGCGGGCGGATTGCTCCAGGTCAAGAGTTCGAAACCAGCCTGAGCAAGAGCGAGACCTCATCTCTACTATAAATAGAAGGAAATTAATTGGCCAACTAATATAAAGAGAAAAAATTAGCCAGGCATGGTGGCGCATGCCTGTAGTCCCAGCTACTCGGGAGGCTGAGGCAGGAGGATTGCTTGAGCCCAGGAGTTTGAGGTTGCTGTGAGCTAGGCTGATGCCACGGCACTCGCTCTAGCCTGGGCGACAAAGTGAGACTCTGTCTCAAAAAAAAACAAAAACAAAACAAACCAAAAAACCTCAGATTCCTACAGGGTCTGGGCAGGTAACATAAATGCAGGAAGTGGGCTGGATATAAGATAGGGAGATATGTTAGCTTAAATAACATTTTTTTATGAAAAATAAAGAGTGGCATTTTTCATGTCTATAGAAAGTAGCTGGAGTCTCATACCTATGTCTCAAGTTAATCTGTTATGATACGTTGTTTTGGTTGAAGCATATGAAGAAAATCCTAGGACTTTGAAAACATTTTGAATGGGTCCTAGGGACCCCCAGGGCTTGCCAGACGACAGTTTGAGGATTGCTTCTCTAGCAGATTGTTGCTTTGTGGAAATGTGGCTCAAGTGGTATCAAATCTTCTGATTTTTTCAAAAGAAGCAGAGATCCTGACTTTACTGTGAAATGTATTGATTGCTAAATGTTGTCAACTTTTGGCTTGTGCATGTCAATTTTTGATATGTGGTCTTATAGGATTACATGTAAACTTTTAGCTTAATGGTCAGATACTTTGGTTTCTTTAGCCTCATCTCCCATTGTGCCCTATGTACGTGGACCCCTTCTTTGGGCAAAATTGTCTATTCATGTTCTTCTAACATGCCTGCCCTTCTCCAGCTTTATCCTTTTGTGAACTCTTTTTCTCCAGCCTGACCTGCCCTTCCTTTTCTGTCAATATGTCTCAATCCTGCACACCTTTCAGTGTCCTTTTCACATCTCACTTCCTTCATGAAAATTTCTCTTATCACTGGGTTATGAAATGGTTTCTCTCATCTCTGAACATGTGAGACCTTTAAAGATTGCACCATTTGTTTGGGGTTTAGACATTTTGCATCATTGTCCTAAGTTGCTATTTACAAAATGTATGCAAAGCACTTACCACTGTTGGCTTGTAAGAAGACCTCCACAAATGGGAGTTCTCACTGTTTTTGTTTGTATCTTATTTTTCTCTCTATCTATTGAAAGATCTTAAGGGCAAAGATTTACCTCTTTATATCTTCTAAATGCTTAGCACAGTGCTTTCTTTGCATTATACAGCAAAAACATTTTTTATACCACAATAGGTTAAGGGACAATCATTTAAGATAAGGGAGTATATCTTACTAATATATAATAAAAAGTTTCCTTTGGTAAAAATGATCAGAATTTATTTATCTGTGTTAAGTACAAACTACCCAGTTAGTGGTTTGAAAGTTGAAAGGAAACTTGTTTCCATTCGTTCTTTATTCTACAGAGATCTCATCACCCAAGAGACTTCAAGATAGACAAATTATCTCTCCTGCCAAAGTGACAAGCAGCAACTCTCTGGACAAGTTTGAGCAAAGCGGGAATGGTGGGAAGATCACGACCCCTGAAGGGTAATGCATTGACATTTTTTTCTGTTGTACTGAATATATTTCTGAGTCATTTCTTGATGCAGGGAATTTAAATAATTGTTTGTTCATTCATTTATTCAGTGTTCTTGAGAACATTCAGTGTGCTAGGTATTGGCAATAATAGAGATGACCAAGGCTTACAATCTAGTGAGAAAATTAGACATATGTAAAGGGATAAATTGTGATTCAGTCATGTTAATGCAGAGGAAGAAACAAAATAGCACAGAGGAGGGAACATCCAACTTTCCCTGTAGATTTGGGATAATCTACAAAAATTCCTAATGGAATTCCATTAGAATGAATGTAGTACAATTTATCATGGCCAGGTCTTCTTCTTGTGATGTCACAAGATTTTTTTTTTTTTCTTTTATTTCTTTGCTTTTTCTTTCTTTCTTTTTTTTTTTTGAAACAGGGTCTCTCTCTGTCACCTGGGCTAGAGTGCAGTGGCATCATCGTAGCTCACTGCAACCTCAAACTCCTGGGCTCAGCCTCCTGAGCAGCTGGGACTACAGGCATATGCCACAATGCTCAGCTAAAAAAGATTCCTATTTTATCCTTCTTTCTTTGAGTAGGAGACTTTATAAGACCTCAAATCAGTCAGCCCTATTCACATGCTTATTGAACATCTATGTACCTTGCATTGTCTTGTCAACTTTCAATTTATTAATGTATCACAATTTATCAGCTATCATATGTATAGCTTATGTACTTTTTGGATTGCTAAAGTCATATTCAAAACCCTAGGCATGTTTGTTTTTGATAATCTCACTGCTGTGAAAGATCATTAAGAACTAGGTGTCTAGTACTTTGAAATTTAGTTCAATCCAACAAACCCTCAGCACCACTGTGTGCCAGGTACTATTCTAGGCACTGAGGATACAGAGCTGAAGGCCTACAAATCTACTTTCATAAAACTTATAGTCCTGGGGGGGAGGGGGCGGGTATATACATACATAATGAGTGAGATGTGCACCATCTGGGAGATGGTCATGCTGGAAACTCAGACTTGTGGGGGGAGGGGGGAAAGGGCATTTATTGAAACCTTAAAATTTGTACCCCCATAATATGGCAAAATAAAAAAAAATGTATAGTCTTTTGTTAAAATTTCAAAATATTAAGGGGGTACACATGTTTCTATTACATGGATAAACTTATAGTCTTTTTTTGTTTTTTGATAAACTTATAGTCTTGTAGGGGAGACTTGACACTAAAGAAGTAATACATGTGATGAAGACAACAAAAGAAAGTACAGCAGCTGCCAAAAGGAGGGAGGAATTCATTGTTAGGGGTTGTTAGTGAAGGTTTCTCATAGAAGTTTTCCAAAAGTGTTTTTTGTGCTGATTACTAAAATAGTACATATTTATATCACAGAAATTTTAAAACCATGAGAAAAGCACGAGTTACAAAAAAATCACTAATAACCTCACTAAAGGAAATGTTCTGTTAACATTATGGTATATATCTTTTATTTCAATGATTATATAATATATACATATATTTATACTTGAAACTATTAGAGCAGGAAACTGTAGGACCACAGAACAAAGAGACAGGGTCACTGAGGCTGAAATCATCAAAAGGAGTTTTATTGACTAGCTCGAGCTAGGGTCTAAGTCCCAAGGCACCAATACAGTGGCCTCTATTGGGACAAAGACCCCGAGCACTGTAGAACGAGCCCTTTATACCCTAGGTGCATAACCTGTCTACATGCTTGCCCTTTACATTGATTGGTTGGCCCCTTGTGCCCATGTGCTTGCCCTTTTGTTTTATCCCAAAATTTACTGGGATCAGCCCGCTCAAACCAACTTCCTAAAAACAAGCAATATACATAAGCTAAAAGAAAGCACTTAGCCTGAGGCTTCACATTCCCCTCTTCTTTTGGTCTTTACGACCTTTCTTGCTCATCTTCGGGGTCTCTAACCTCTTGCATCTCTATACAGTCACGCCCAAGGCTTTGATATTGCTGCTGCAATATCATTAATTGAACAGTACTTATTTGCTCTTTAATGAAAGCTATTAACCTATTTAATATACATGGTTCCAAAGTGAGAATTAGGAGGAGCACAATGAGTGGACCTAATAGTGTGGACAACAATGTAGTTAACCAGGGGGAGCTATTAAACCATGATTTAAACCATCTTTGTTGTTGTTCACGCTCTTGTTTCCATCGTGCAAGTCTCTTCCTGATCTTAGCCATAGACTCTCTAACTACCCCAGTGTGGTCTGCATAGAAGCGGCACTTTTTCTCTTAGGGCCACACATAGCCCCCCCTGTTGGAGGAATACTAAGTCTAGCCCTTTCCAGTTCTGAAGCACCACCTCAGACAGTGAAGTTAGGGATTTTTCTAAATGGGAGATGGACTCTTTTATTCTGGCTATGTCTTTATTTATTGCGGCCCTTAAGCTATTGAACCCCTTATGTTGCATTGCCAGGGATGAGATACCTGTCCCTGCTCCTATTGCCCCCAGGCCAAAAAGAGTGGCCAAGGTTATTGTTGTAAAAGGCTCCCTTTATCTGTGAACCTCACACGTATCAGGTTACAGTTAGGGGCATACCTGGTTTGTGAGCATGGCCGGACATAAGACATTTCGATAACAAGAGGTTGTTCCTGCCATCTCTACTCTCTATCATTGGTGGTCACACATCTCTAGTCTGCACAGTAGAGAGACTGGATCCCCCCACGTGTGCGGCTCATCTTTCCTGTTTTAAACCCCAGACATGCATAAAACTCATTCCGGCTCATGGACACTAGCCTCTGGTACTGCCCCCACTTTCCCCCTTCTATCTCTTCTAGAGGGCCAATTCTTTCTAGATTGAAATATAGGTCTGGCCACCAGGTGTTCAGTGGGGCCGTTTTTGAAGTCTTATTATAAACTTTATGGGTTTTTAAGTTAGTAATTTCTCACGTCAGGTTATAATTTCTCACATGGGGATTTGAGTCAATGGTTACAGCTGTAGAGACCCTTTCCAGGAACAAAACGCCCACAAACAGCCTATGTAGCAAACAAAAAAGGTTACCAGGGCACATCTTTGCAGTTTAGTCCAGTCCTTAGGAACCACAACCCCAAGTCCAAGTCCCAGAAGGATGACCAGCAGTCCGACGAAGATTTAAGTCAGCAGTCCCATCTAGCCCTTTTTCCTGGTAGAGCTCTGGCCTGCGGCTGTCACGCAGGTCACTCTGGTCTTTAATGGGTTTTTTGGGTCCATTGTTGCCTTCTACTGGTCCTGCTGCTGCTCTTGGTCGTCTTCACTGGCAGGTCTCACATGGGAGTGGTGTATCTAAGTCACCACTCCATCAACCTTAAGTGCAGTAGGGGTAACAAGAATTATTTGAAAGGGTCCTTTCTATTTAGGCTCTAGGGTTTTACTGTTATGCTGTTTCACTCATACCCAATCCGCTGGCTGATGATGGTGATGCGGGTGTTTATTACTCTCGCTTCTTGGCCCAGTTGTCTGGCAGATGGCCTGGAGGGCTGGCCATACTTGGCTGTGGACACGTTGCAGAGCCTGCACAGCCTGCAGTACCTCTCTAGGGTGCTCTGGGAGAGCCTCAGAGCTCATCTTGGGGATTACAGGTGGAGGGGTATCGTACATAATCTCAAAGGGGGTTAAGCCTAAATAATATGGGGTGTTCCGGGCTCGGAACAGGGCGAAGGGAAGGAGTATCACCCAGTCCCCTCCAGTCTCTAGGACCAATTTAGTCAAAGTCTCCTTTAGGGTTCTGTTCATTCTTTCTACCTGCCCTGAGCTCTGGGGATTACATACACAATGTAACTTCTAATCTGCCCCCAGTGCCCGGGCTAGCCCTGGACTGACTTGACTTGTGAAGGCTGGCGCATTGTCAGACCCTATGCTCTCCTGCAGCCCGTACCTGGGAATTATTTCTTCTAATATTTTTTTTTGCTACTGTTAGGGCAGTCTCTCTTTTAATAGGAAAAGCTTCTACCCCCCCCGAGAAAGTGTCTACCATGACCAACAAATACCTGTACCCATATTTTCCTGGTCTTACCTCTGTGAAGTCTATTTCTCAAAATAATCTTGGTTGCCTCCCTCGCTCTCTGGTACCTGCATGGGTCCCTCTGATCTCCTCCGGCGGCATGACCTGGCAGACACGGCAGTTCTGGACAATGTCTTCTATCTTTCCTTGTGATTTGAATCTGAGTTGTGCAGTGTCCAGCAACTGTAGCATCTCTTCCCCCCCCCCCCAGATGCGTTCTCTGGTGCAAGTGGCCTAGTAGGTGGTTCTCCAGAGCTTCAGGAACTACTACGCGGTGCTCTCCATCTTGGAAGCAGCCGTCCTTACTCTGTGTCGCCTGCAGTTTTTCTTTGGCCCAGTTTATGTCTGTGCTGGAATAATCCAGTTGGGGGGGCATCTTTCCCATACCAGGAGGTGGCAAGCTCAAATATAGAACATCCGTTAGTGCTGGTTCCCCCACAGCCCTTTTTGCCTCAGCGTCTGCAGCCCGGTTGCTCCAGGCTTCAAGAGAGTCCCCCTTCTGGTGTCCCAGAATGTGGACTACTGCCACTGCTTTTGGCAACAAAATGGCTTTTAGCAGATGAAGTATTTCAGGCTTATGTTTGATTTCTCTGCCCTCTGCTGTGATGAAACCTCTCTCTTTATAGAGAGCCCCATGTATGTGTACTGTCCCATAGGCATAGCAACTGTTGGTGTATACTGTCAGCCTCTTTCCTTGGGCCTGGCAGAGGGCTTCTGTCAATGCCACCAGTTCTGCCTTCTGGGCTGAGGTCCCCTGTGGAAGGCGTGTTGATAAGCTTGCCTTGCTCATCTACTATGGCCACCTGCACGTACCTGTGTCTGTCTCTGACGAAGCTGCTCCCATTGGTGAACCAGGTCAGGTCGCTGTTTGGAAGAGGGCGGTCTTTTAGGTCTTTCTGGGCCATCTGGGTCTTGGCCAGGATTTCAAGGCAGCTATGCTTGGGTGTTTCGGGCTTGGGATCTTGCCGAAGCTTGGCCGGATTTA